GATTTTGGTTCTTAGTACTGTTCAATTTAGTACTGTTTAACTTAGTACTGTTTAACTCAGAACACAACACTCCTATCCCAGGGCCCTTAACAAGAGGCAATTTTCCTCTAACTTTTCTCAGGTAAAGCTTTTTTTCGGGGGGGGGGGACACATGGTTTCTCTGTGTAACAGCCATAGTTGTCCTTGAAATGAGCTCTTTTTTTTTGTTTGTTTGTTTGTTTTTGTTGTTTGCGACTGGGTTTCTCTGTATAACTCTGACTGTCTTTGAACTCACACTGCAGACCAGTCAGGCCTCGAACTCACAGAGATCTGCCTGCCCCTGTCTCCCTAATGCTGGGATTAAAGGTGTGCACCACCACCACCTAGGTTGAACTAGTTCTTGAGACCAGGCTGGCCTTGAATACACAAGAGATCCGGCTGCCTCTGCTTCCTGAGGGCTGGGATTAAAGGCATGTACCACCACCTCCCGGCCAGGCGAAGCTTTAATGTATGCATTATCATCAGTGTAAATGAGGCAGAAGTAGAGAGAAGGCAAAGTCAAGGCTAAAGGAAGATACTCCAGTGTGAAAGACCAGAAAAGAGAAGCATGGTCCCCTGACAGTTGTAACAGCTGTCACCCTGTGTGTGAGATGTTTCCTAATATTCATTACATCATTGTTTTATGTAAATTCTTGCTGTATGGAGCTCTGTCTATTGCAAATACTGCATTTTTAAAAATCCAATGTCTTGCTGCTGAGTATATTTGTTTACATTCTAGTTTACAGCTCTTATGATTCTAGTTTCCAAGACCAAAGTAGAAAGTGTAGAGGGTTGGTGGAGATGGTTGGCTGTGTGCAGGGGAGTATCGTATTTGTTGTTGTGTCTGTGTTTTGAGACAGGATTTCATTATTTAACCTAGAGGGAACTAGAGCTTGCAATCCCCTGCCACACCTTCCTGAGTGATGGGGTGACCGTGCCTGCTACAATTTACTTATATTGTATTTACAGCTTTTAGAAATACTACTTAAGAGTTCTCAGGGCGAATGGGCTAACTTGATCTCCCATGAGCCTCCACTGAATGATCTCAGCACCTATGATTGCTATTGTTTCCAATTTACCTAAACACTACCTAATAGTGTTTACTGTGACTTTTTAAAATAAATTCACCATAAAGTAGCAAAGTTGAATATATTCTTTAGATGATTATTGGCCATTTGTTTTAACTTCATTTGTGAAGGGATTACCAAATTTGCCACCCATTTTCTAAACCATTTGTCATTATTTTTGAGATGTAATTTACTGGATGTATGTGGCCAAAATCTCTTCAACCACACTATGGTTTTTCCCTATCTTGAACTAGTTTGATAAATATGAACAACTAATATAAGGTGTTACAAATTATAATTTTGCCTCTTTTTAATTTATTGTGTCCATAGAAATTATACTCTCTTCACTGACTGTAAAGTTTCCATTCTTTTATTTTTAAATTAAAGCTATTGATTGTTTTATTTATTTATTTATTGGTTTTTTTGAGACAGGGTTTCTCTGTGTAACAGTCCTAGCTGTTTTGGAACTAGCTCTTGTAGACCAGGCTGGCCTCGGACTCACAGAGATTCACCTGCCTCTGCCTCCCAGTGCTGGGATTAAAGGTGTGCACCACCATGCCTGGCAAAAATATTGATTATTTCGAACCGAAATTCTAAGATAATAGTAAGCAGAAATTAGTAAGAGATTGATCTGGTCATAAGTTAGGAAAGCAATACAACCTAAAATTTTCATAAGTAACAAGTGATGGACATTTGAAAATTTAGAACTAAGTGACTTATAATTGTGTGAAATGTGGTTAAATGGCCAAGACAGAGTTTCAGAAACAAAATATCCAGCCTAGCTGCGTAAGAGACTACTTGCTATTAATGCGAACACTAGCGCTGTGGAGGCAGGATGTTCTGATGCTCAAGGTCATGCTTGACTACACAGGAATAGAGCAAGTTTGAGGTAAGCTTTGTGCTATATCAAACTGGGCAGAAACAAATAAACCCAAGCTCCACCATCTCCTAAACAAACAAACAACCCACTGCGGTCAAATATGTTCCAAACCATGGGAGAGAGAGACCAAACTGCATATTTAATCAAGTCAACATTTTCTATTCCAAGTAATTCATGCTAACAATTCTGAACTATATTATGTTCTACAAACCAAGGAGAGCTAGAGACATGGGCAGTGACAATTCTTGCTAGGACTCGAGAGGCCCTGGGTTCAATTCCTAGTAATGGAGAAAACAAAACAAGCAAAAACAAAAAACAAAAAAACGAAAAACAAACCAGCTAATGAGAATGTTTTTAGGGACTATGAGAAAACACTGGCTATGTAACTGAACAAGGACTGGCAGCTAACATTAGATAGGATGAAACATAATCTTCAAAGTGCTAAAATAAATTCATCAGAACAGACCTCTCGGTTCCTGGATATGGAATCTGAATTCTTACATGTAACATTAGATTATTGCTGAATGTAGTACTACTCAACCCCTAATGGTTGGGGATAAAAGTAAAGATAAACTTTTAATTCCAGTAGTCACACTAGTTTGCCATAGGAACTGCGTGGTATAGGTGCACACCTTTAATCCCAGCTATAGAGAGGAAGATAAAACAGGAGGGGAGGAGACAGCTCTCTCACACAGTCCCATTCTGAGATTCCTTGAGGCAGAATAGTCATTTTGGACTGAGGTAGAGGTAAGAGCCAGTGGCTAGCTGCTTTGTTTTTCTGACCTTCAGGTTGAACCCCAATTTCTGTCTTTAAGGTTTTGTTAACCATACTACAAGGCCCCAAGTTTGATCCCAAATACTGTAAACTAAATTATAGAGTATAAAGAGTATTATAATGTATGTAAGTTAAATGAAAATAATTCCTAGTGAAATCGATCCAGGTTACTTTCCTAACACCAGGCCCTGATGGGCATATAAATATTCTCTAATTTTATCCTGTACAAAAAGTGTCCTGTTGGGTGTGTTCCAGCACACCTTTGATCTCCGCACCTGGAAGGCAGAAACTGTAAGATCTCTGTCTCTCAGAAGCAGGACACAAGGAAATCTCAAATTCAAGGTCAACCTGGGCAAGTTAGTAAAGCCCTCTTTCATTAGTGAATGTGGAAGGTCTGGGGATATAGTCCAATGAGAGAGAGCTGACCTAGTAACCTAGCAGCCAAGGTTCAAACTACGAACAGATACTAAAAGAATACGGAAAGGTACAAATGAAGGCGGGCTCAGCAGTGTACACCTTTAACTCAGCAGAGGCAGGCAGGTGGATATATTTACACTCCAGGGCAGCAGAAGTTAGCGTGTAACCATTTCAAAAAAAGAAAATATATTTTTGTTTCCATACCTCTGTACCCTATTAAAACATCCATTTGTGTTATTTTTATAAAGCACAATATTCTCTAAAATTTTATCTGTTACAAAAGGTGTTGGGCTGGGTGTGGTCAAGCACACCTTTAATCCCAGTAGGAGGAAGGCAGAGACAAAAGGCTCTCTGTTAGTTCTAGGCCAGCCTGCTGTCTACAGTGAGAAGCTGTCATTAAAACATGTGTGAGCATTTATCTTTACAGAAACCTCTATTTCTGTTTTTATAGAATGTATTTGAAAATATTCAACTATTGAGAATAATGGATGTATTTAAAATACTGATATGAAAAACTTGGTGAGATAATGGTATGCTAATTAAATTAGTGGTGACTTCATACTTACACGTAGATCAGATTATTCGATTGTTTTTATAATCAACTTGTGCTATCATTTTTTTTCAGAGACAGGATTTCACTGTAGCTTTGGAGCCAGTCCTGGAGCTAGTTCTTCTAGACCAGGCTGGCCTAAATTCAGAGAGATTAACCTGCCTCAGCCTCCCGAGTTAATCCTGGGATTAAAAGTGTGCACCACCACTGCCCATCCACTTGTGCTTTCAATACAGGATTTCTCTGTGTCTCTCAACTGTCATGGAAATGGCTTTATATCCAGGCTGGTATCCAATGCACAGATTTAGTTTGTCTCTGCCTCCCAAGTTGGGATCAAAGGCATGAGCCACCACTAACACCCGGCTTCCCTAGCAATTTTTTTTTTTTTTTTAGTTTTTCGAGACAGGATTTCTCTGTAGCTTTGGAGCCTGTCCTGGCACTAGCTCTGTAGACCAGGCTGGTCTCGAACTCACAGAGATCCACCTGCCTCTGCCTCCCAGTGCTGGGATTAAAGGCGTGCGCCACCACCGCCTGGCTTTCCCTAGCAATTTTAACACTCATTGGCTTATCTGTAGGCTGGATTGTCTGATAATTTGATTATCTATCTCTTCTCCTATATAAAAGGCGAATTGGAAGAGAAAGACTGAATTTCCAGCAATTCCGACCCTGTCTACATCTCAGTAGTGGAGTCTTTCTGACCAGCTCTAAAACCATGGAGGGACCTTCAGGAAACTCATTTCCAAGCCAGCAACTAATTGTAGAATATTCATTCGTGGTGTTTTTCTTTATATTTAAACCTTTTTAATTTAATGCATAGTTGTAATCGGCACAAACTGATACCCTGTGGAAAGCTGTAAACTACTTGTTAAAAGTAGCTGGATGAAATTACAAATGTACTTCATCAGGTCATAATGACAAGGCGTCTTTTTGTGAAATGCATTGCTGGATGATTTTTATCCCTACATGAACACCTATAGTGTTCCTCCATAAACTTAGATGGAGGGAATCAGTGTGTAGAGACCCCTAGCTTCCTATCCGTAATAGTATCAAAGCTAGATGTTGCTGAAGCCCGATGACTAGAGTCTTTATTGTAGCAACATTGGGAACCCAGCACACATTGTAATTCTGGGCCCCACCCTAGAAATTTTTGGGTTACAGGTATTTGACATTTAGAAATTTTCACAGATGACTTTAGCCCATCCTGTGATCTGAGACCCATTTCTTCAGAGAAAAGGGATAATAGACGATCCACAAGCTGAGAAAATTCAGCCTAACTCTTAGTAGATTCCATCCATGTGTTATTTACATTTTACTTTCTTTCTAAAGGGAAGGCTCACAAGGAGTATAATACCTCCGAAATTACAGAAGAGGATCCAGGCTGTCCGGAACAAGCACAAGAGCAAACACCGAGCGAGGGCAACTTCTCCTGTGAGGATGACCAGTTGCATCTTCAAAAGTTCTGTGACCAGAATAACGGCCCACCCTGAAAATAGCACCAGGCACAAGAGGCAAGAGGAGACACTGGAGAAACCCCAGCAGCTCTGTACATTCAGGAGACTGCAGGAATATCACATTGAAGACGGTACAGGGAACCTACTAGGTCCACTGTGTCTTTCTAATCCCGAAAAAAGAACTGCACGAAGGTTGCGGGCTGGAGCCATGGTTGCTAGTAGTGTCAATGGTCTGCACACTTCAAGGTTCACCTCTGTCCAATCCCCGAAGTCAGAAGGGACAGAGCGAGGGGCACGTGAACAGTCACCACCTCCATCCTACAGTCAAGGGGTGACAGTGCCAATGGCTCTTGAGCTGTCGCCATCTGTTAACCTTCAACAAGTAACTGCTGCGGATATCCGGAGACAGTCCCGGAGGGTGGCGAGGGCCAGGAAGAGACTGGCCGAGGCCTTAGAATTCGACAGGCTTGCCAGGCAGGAAGAGAACATGGAGGGATAGAGTGGTGAGGACGAAGTGGAAGAAGCAAAGGTGGAAAGTGAGAGCATGGTGGACTCCACGAAGGAACTTCCTTTTACTTGTAGGGCTTTTGGGTTTTATTTTGTTTTTCGAGATAGGTTTATTCTGGGTAGCCCTGGCTGTCCTGGAACTCTGGAGATCAGGCTGGCTATGAACCAAGAGCCGCCAGGATTTTGGTTTTAAATAAAGGCTTGCACCATTACTGCCCATAGCATTAATGTCTGTTTTAATAAAACAACCCTACCCTGATGATTGAATACCCAAATCCCTCCCTTTAAAGCTTTTTTTAAAAGGTAAAACTGTAACCAGTAGTGATTTTTATTTTTTCCTTTTATTGTTTTTTAAGGCAGGCTTTCTCTGTTTATCTTTGGAGCCTGTCCAGAAAATCTCTTTGTAGACCAGGCTGTCCTTGAGCCCACAGAGATCTGCTTGCCTTTACCTCCTCGCTTGGCCTGAAGATTATATCTTGATACTACCTCCTACTTATTACGTTCTGATTGCTAAAGCATCACTAGGTGAGCATTTCTTACTCAAACAATGCATGCCCAACATTTTGTCATTGTGATGTTACCATCTCTACAGCGCTCAATAACTCCAACTGAGTTTTTTTTTCGTTTTTTTAAATTTATTTATTTATTAAAGATTTCTGCCTCCTCCCCGCCACCACCTCCCATTTCCCTTCCCCTCCCCCGATCAAGTCCCCCTCCCTCATCAGCTCAAAGAGCAATCAGGGTTCCCTGACCTGTGGGAAGTCCACGGACCACCCACCACCATCCAGGTGTAGTAAGGTGAGCATCCAAACTGCCTAGGCTCCCACAAAGCCAGTACGTGCAGTAGGATCAAAAACCCATTGCCATTGTTTTGAGTTCTCGGTAGCCCTCATTGTCAGCTATGTTCAGCAAGTGCGGTTTTATCCCATGCTTTTTCAGACCCAGGCCAGCTGGCCTTGGTGGATTCCCAATAGAACATCCCCATTGTCTCAGTGGATGGAAATAGAAAACACTATCCTGAGTGAGGTAAGCCAGACCCAAAAAGAGGAACATGGGATGTACTCACTCATATTTGGTTTCTAGCCATAAATAAAGGACATTGAGCCTATAATTAGTGATCCTAGTGAAGCTAAATAAGAAGGTGAATCAAAAGAAAAACATATAGGCATCCTCCTGAATATTAACCTTCGTCAGGCGATGAAAGGAGACAGAGACAGAGACCCACATTGGAGCACCGGACAGAAATCTCAAGGTCCAAATCAGGAGCAGAAGGAGAGAGAGCACAAGCAAGGAACTCAGGACCGCGAGGGGTGCACCCACACACCAACTGAGTTTTTTTAAATGAACAATTTCTCTTCCCTTTCTTACTTTGTTTCTCTCTCTCTCCCTCTCTTTCTCTCTTTCTCTTCCCTTTATCCCTTTCTTTCTTTCTTTCTTTTCTGAGACAGGGTTTCTCTGTCTATCCCGGAACTAGCTCTTGTAGAACATGTTGGCCTCCCCCTGCCTCACTTAGATCCACCTGCCTCTGCCTCCCGAGTGCTGGGATTAAAGGCGTGAGCCACAACCCCTGGCAGCAATTAATTTTTGAAAGTGGAATTAAATAGATATTCTTCCTGTGGTCTTCACTTTCCTACTGAAAGCAGGGACTATAGAGAGCTAGTGAAAAATGCAAATCTTGGACCTGCTGAAGGAAAGCAGGCATTTGAACAAGATTTTCAGTTATCCTGGTGCACAGCAGAGGTGGAAAATCCTGGCTAAGGGATGTAGCCCTCCCAGGGAGGGAAGGTATCACGATTAGTCTTCTAGGAGTCAGCAAAACAACGAGCACCTGTTAGAGCCTAAAGACCATGTCTGTTCACTGTTTCCATGATGCAGTGGTGAGTATCCTGGCAAAAGTCAATCCAGGTGCTATGAGTTCCAGATAACTGTAGACCCAAGTTGGCTTAAATGTTTAGTTGGAGATTCTGGCTCACCCCTGCCTTGTCAAGGAATCCCCATTTCCTGCCCCAGCCCTGCCTGATCAGAGTCTCCAAACAAAGGAAAGGTGCCCCAAAACCCATTCTTGCATTGTTGGTAAGTACTGAAGCTTCCTACCCTGAAATTGGCAGCCACCTAAGTCTCCACCTAAGCGCTCAACTTTTGTTCATACTTGGGCTCCAGCCCACCTTGTGGTGGACACATCATCACCTCTTGCCTACAGCCTATAAAATCTCCCTGTTTTAGTACAGGGGGACTTCTCTTGCCTCGAACTCTGGAACCAGAGAACCCACACTGTGAGTTGTTTAACACAATAAATATTTTGCTAAACTTTTTCAATTTGGCTCGATCTGACTTACTGTGTTGGCACAGGAGCGTATCATTGTGTGGAGGTGCAGAAAACCTATTCTTAAATATTAGCAGAAAAGTATACTTCTGAATAGAAACACAAAATAAAAAAAGAGAAAATCAAATTTGGCATCTGGATCCAAGATGCAATTTGAGCCAGGAGAACTAGGCCATCTTGGGGCCCTTGGCACAGGAGGCCTGCAGGATGAGCAGGGAGAGCTGTGTGTGCAAAGGCAGCCACTGAGAACAGGGTGAGAAACTGAACGAAGGGCCAGCTTAGCACTGTTCCAGAAGAGACCTTGTCACTGCAGATGACAGCCCTCAAATTTGTTAAGAAGCATACACATTTTTTTTAAAAAGGAGACAAAACGATTAGGAGCAATAGGATTGAATTAGCCCCCTTCAGAACTGAAGATAGCTAACTACATAGTTATCAAGACAATCATGATTAGCTCACAAGACATTTACATACAGGTCAGACTTCCTACACAGCAAGAATCAAACAGTTAAAGACATAAGGGAACGTTTAATATTTACATGATCTATATAAAATGCTCAGAGATTTCAAAATTATTATATATCACATACATAGTTAATTAACCAAAGGAGAGGTATGCTGGGGCTTGATTGTGAGATTTGCTATATTGATTCTCATATTATTTTGAAAATTAATCAGCTCTAGTAAAAGAGCAAAGGCCTTTTGACAAATCAATGATATTATATTTTTCCTAGAAAATATAAACACAAAAAAGAAATACAAAGAGAGGGAGAGAGAAAAGGAAAAGACAGAAAGGAAGAAAGAAAATCTAGCAGAAAGGTAGATCATTCTATATGCATTAATATGTTTATGGTAGTTAGTGTATTGATACAGTGCCATATATAGTACATAACGGTGTGTGTTCATATGTTATATCAACAGCACATTAATGTTTTTGTTGACATAACTATGACAATTGACACAATATCGCACAATGCCATAAACAGAGCTACAGAGCAGAAGTCGCCAAAGGATGTGAGCGTGACCCACTACAAATGTATAAATAAGAAGGTGCAGTCTGGAATCAAAATACCTGAGGACCCAGAAATACCACTCTTGGGCATATACCAAAGGATGCGCAATCATATTAAAAAGGATATTTGTTCAACTATGTTCACAGCAGCATTATTCGTAATAGCCAGAACCTGAAACAACCTAGAAGCCCCTCAAGTGAAGAATCAACAAAGAAAATGTGGTACATTTACACAATGGAGTACTACTCAGCGCTAACAAACAATGACATCTTGAAATTTGTGTAGAAATGAGCAGTGAGCTGCACTCCCGTCCAGCTCCCGCACGGCTAGCTCTATACCCGAAATAACAACATGGAAACTGTATTCTTTTAAACACTGCTGGGCCCATTAGCTCTAGATTCTTACTGGCTAATTCTCACATCTTGATTAACCCATTTCTAATTATCTGTGTAGCACCACGAGGTGCTGGCTTAACGAAAGGATCTTAACCTGCGTCCATCTTGGAGAGGAGAGCTATAGCATCTGCCTCACTTCCCTTCTTCCCAGCATTCTGTTATGTCTACTCCACCCACCTATGTTCTGACCTATCAGGCCAAGCAGTTTCCTTATTAATTAACCAATGAAAGCAACAGAATGATAGAAGACCCACCTACACCAGATTTGCATGCAAATCGATGGAACTAGAAAAAAATATCCTGAGAGAGGTCACCCAGACCCAGAAAGATGAACATGAAATGGGCTCACTCGTAAGTGGACACTAGCTGTAAAGCAAAGGAAAACGAGCTTATGCTCCCGAATTTTAGAGAAGTTAAATAACAAGGTGAACTAAGAGAAACATCTATAAATTCCACTGGAAAGGGGAAATAGACAAGAATCTCCTGACAAAATTAGGTGCATGATGATTTTGGAGAATTAAGTAAGAAGGGGAAGAGAAAGTGGGAAGGAGGAGAGCTTCAGTGAAAGTGGTGGTTGCAATGTGGGAAGGATAGAGATGGAGAGCGAGGAAAGAGATATTTCATTGAGGGCCATTATAGGGCTAGCAAGAAACCTGGTACTAGAGAAATTCCCAAGAATCCACAAGGATGAGCCCAGCTAAGACCCTAAGCAATAGAGGAGAGGATGCCAGAACTGGCCTTGCCCTGTAGTCAGATTGATGTCACCATTAATGTCACCATAGAACCTTCATCCAGCAACTGATGGAGACAGGGGCAGAGATCCACAGCAGAGCAGTGGGCTGATTTCCTGAACTCCAGTTGAAGAGTGGGAGGAGTGAGAATATGAGCAAAGCAGTCAAGACCATGATGGAGACACCCACTGAGACAATTTACTGAGCTAATGGACCTCACCAACTCCAGTCAGACAGGGAAGGATCTAGCATAGGATCATGCTAGACCCCCTGAATGTGGGTGACAGCTGTATGGCTGGGGCAGACTGTGGGGCCACTGGCACTGGCACCAGGATTTATCCCTGCTGCTTGTACTGGCCCTCTGGAACCCATTCTTTTTGCAAGGACCTTGCTCAGCCTGGATATAATGAGGTCCTTCCTCAGAGAAATGTGCCTAGCCCTTCCTGGGGAGTAGATGGGGGATTGTGAGGGGGAAATGGTGGAGGGAATGGGGCAAGTGGAGGGAGTGGTATGCAAAATGAAAAAGGATAGTTTACTTTTTAAAAATATATATTAAAAAGTGAGGGGAAAAAAGAAGGTGTAGTCTGCGATGCAACAGAGAATGACCCAGTAGGTAGTGAACATCCTGGCATGTGTTCACAGGTGTATAGGGATCATATCAAAGATTTCAGGAAACAGGGAATTCCAAGTTCCCTAATAAACGCTGAATTCTTGACTACCAGCTTTCCTGGCCCTAAGCTCATACCAGAAACATAGCAAAATAGGTGAAAATAATGTAGAATTAAAATTATATAATAGAACCGATCGGTGGTGGCACATGCCTTTAATCCCAGCACTTAAGAGGCAGAGGCTGGCAGAAATCTGTGAGCCAGTTCCAGGACAGGTTGTGAACTTTACTATACCTGGAGTGAAATTCAATCCAGACATGGAGGGCACACCTGTGGTCCTGATCATGCGACAGGAAGACAACCTGCTTTGGATCTGGATCTTGAGGCTAGAAGACACAGACTTTTCATCCACATCTTGACCTGGAAGACACCAGTTTTTCATCCAGATCGTTTTTGTTTTGTTTTGTTATTTGGGAAAGGGTTTATTATTTTTCTTTTGGAACCCGCCCTGCAACTTGCTCTGTAGACCCGGCTGACCTCGAACTCACAGAGATCCTACTGCCTCTGCCTCCTGAGAGCTGGGATTAAAGGCCCGTGTCACCACTCCTTATCTTGATCCAGATCTAAAGGCCAGAAGACACACTCCTTTAATCCAGATCTGGGCCACACCTTCTTCTGGAAGCCTATATATGAACGATGGACGAAGAAAGGTTCAGTCTTTGCTCGCTTGCCCTTACCTTGTCGGCACAAGCATTCCTTCACTGGAGTCTGCTTCTTCAGGATTCCAGCATACACAGAAGACCAGCCGAGATAGCCAGCCTTGGTGGGACTGAGCAGCCACTGGGCTCTTGAACTTCCATTCATAGCCATCCATTGTGGGACTACGGGCTGTAAGTCATAACCTTAAACTCCTCTATATATTCATTTTATATGGCTGTGACTCTGGAGAAGCCTGACTAATCAGGGTTAGTGTTAGGGTTGGGGTTATCCAGTGTCTAGTTCTTCAATTAAGCTGGCTATGGCTACAGGAAGGGTTTTACAACTGTCAGGGAGGAAAATTATCCCAGCATTCAACATCTTAACTATTATAAGAAAAATACTACATTAAGAGAGGGGATTACAATAAAGTCATTTCACAACTGTGAACAAGGATTTGGTTCTTAATACTGTTTACTTTAGTACTGTTTAACTGTTTAACTTAGTACTGTTTAACTCAGAACACAACACTCCTATCCCAGGCCCCTTAACAAGAGGCAATTTTCCTCTAACTTTTCTCAGGTAAAGATTTTTTTCGGAAAAGGATTTCTCTGTGTAACTCTGGCTGTCTTGGAACTCACTGCAAACCAGGCAGGCCTCGAACTCACAGAGATATGCCTGCCTCTGCTTTCTGAGTGCTGGGATTAAAGGTGTGCACCACCACCGCCTGTCCACTTGTGATTTCAATACAGGATTTTCTTTTTAATAGTCTCTCAACTGTCATGGAAATGGCTTTATGAACAGGCTGGCATCCAACACAGAGATTAGCCTGCCTCTGCCTCCCAATTGCTGGGATCAAAAGGGTAAGTAAGCCACCACCACCACCCGGCTTCCCTAGAAGTTTTAACACTCATTGGTTTATCTGTAGGCTGGATTGTCTGATAATTTGATTACCTATCTCTCCTCCTATATAAAAGGCGAATTGGAAGAAAAAGACTGGCAATTCCAGCAATTCCGACCCTGTCTACATCTCAGTAGTGGAGTCTTTCTGACCAGCTCTAAAACCATGGAGGGACCTTCAGGAAACTCATTTCCAAGCCAGCCTTTGATCGTGAGTACATAATTCATACCAATTGTAGAATATTCATTCTTGGTCTGTTTTTTTACATTTAAACCTTTCTAATTTAATGCCTAGTTGTAATCGGCACAAACTGTTAACTACTTTTTAAAATTTGCTGGAAGAAATTTCAAATGTACTATATCAGCTCCAAATGACAAGGCGTCTTTGTGTGAAATGCTTTGGTGGATGATTTTTATCCTTGTATGAACATCTAGCGTGTTCCTCCATAAACTTAGATGGAGGGAATCAGTGTGTAGAGACCCCTAGCTTCCTATCCGTAATAGTATCAGAGCTAGATGTTCCTGAAGCCCGATGACTAGAGTCTTTATTGTAGCAACATTGGGAACCCAGCACACATTGTAATTCTGGGCCCCACCCTAGAAATTTTTGGGTTACAGGTATTTGACATTTAGAAGTTTTCACAGATGACTTTAGCCCATTCTGTGATCTGAGACCCATTTCTTCAGAGAAAAGGGATAATAGACGATCCACGAGCTGATAAAATTCAGCCTAACTCTTAGTAGATTCCATCCATGTGTTATTTACATTTTACTTTCTTTCTAAAGGGAAGGCTCACAAGGAGTATAATACCTCCGAAATTACAGAAGAGGATCCAAGCTGTCCGGAACAAGCACAAGAGCAAACACCGAGCGAGGGCAACTTCTCCTTTGAGGATGACCAGTTGCATCTTCAAAAGTCCTATGACCCGCATAACGGCCCACCCTGAAAATACCACCAGGCGCAACAAGCAAGAAGAAACGCTGGAGAAACCCCAGCAACTCTGTATATTCAGGAGACTGCAGGAATATCACATTGAAGACGGTACAGGGAACCTACTAGGTCCACTGTGTCTTTCTAATCCCACAAAAAGAACTGCACGAAGGTTGCGGGCTGGAACCATGGTTGCTAGTGGTGTCAATGGTCTGCACACTTCAAGGTTCACCTCTGTCCAATCCCCGAGGTCAGAAGGGACAGTGCGAGGGGCTCGTGAGCAATCTCCACCTCCATCCTACAGTCAAGGGGTGACAGTGCCAATGGCTCTTGAGCTGTTGCCATCTGAACCTTCAACAAGTAACTGCTGCGGATATCCGGAGACAGTCCCGGAGGGTGGCGAGGGCCAGGAAGAGACTGGCCGAGGCCTTAGAATTAGACAGGCTTGCCAGGCAGGAAGAGAACATGGAGGCATAGAGTGGTGATGACGAAGTGGAAGAAGCAAAGGTGGAAAGTGTGAGCATGGTGGACTCCACGAAGGAACTTCCTTTTCCTTGTAGGTCTTTTGGGTTTTATTTTGTTTTTCGAGATAGGTTTACTCTGGGTAGCCCTGGCTGTCCTGGAATTCTGGAGATCAGGCTGGCTATGAACCAAGAGCTGCCAGGAATTTGGTTTTAAATAAAGGCTTGCACCATTACTGCCCATAGCATTAATGTCTGTTTTAATAAAACAACCCTACCCTGATGATTGCATACCCAAATCCCTCCCTTTAAAGCTCTTTTTAAAAGGTAAAACTGTAACCAGTAGTGATTTTTATTTTTTTCCTTTTATTGTTTTTTAAGGCAGGCTTTCTCTGTTTATCTTTGGAGCCTGTCCAGAAAATCTCTTTGTAGACCCGGCTGTCCTTGAGCCCACAGAGATCTGCTTGCCTTTACCTCCTCAGGGCTGGGATATAAGTTGTGAACCACCACCTCTTGGCCTGAAGATTATATCTTGATAATACCTCCTACTTGTTACTCTCTGATTGCTAAAGCATCACTAGGTGAGCCTTTCTTACTCAAACAATGCATGCCCAACATTTTGTCATTGTGATGTTACCATCTCTACAGTGCTCAAGAACTCCAACTGAGTTTTTTAAGTGTACAATTTTTTTCTTTTCCTTTTTCTTCCTTCCTTCCTTCTTTTTTTCCTTCCTTCTTTTTTCCTTCCTTCCTTCCTTCCTTCCTCCCTTCCTTCCTTTCTTCTTTCCTTCATTCCCTTCTTTCTTTCTCTCTCTCTTTCTTTCTTTCTTTCTTTCTTTCTTTCTGTCTTTTCTGAGACAGGTTTCTCTGTCTAACAGCCTTGGCTATCCTGGAACTAGCTCTTGTTCATCATGGTGGCCTCAAACTCAGAGAACTGCCTTCCTTTGCCTCCTGATTACTGATATTAAAAGTGTGATGACTCCACCATCTGGCAGAAAAAAAAATTAGTTTGCAATTTTGTTTTGGACTCAATTCATTGCTATGCTTAGCTATATGTGCATGCATATTGCCCTTGGGCCATAGGGTGTTCACAGCTGTCAATATTCACATACTGCTTCCATGATGTTCTGCCACACCACAGCCCACAAACAGAGACCTAAATATAGATTTGAACTTCTGAAAATGATAAAAAAATTAATCTATCTTTCTTCCTTGAATCATTTAAACATTTGTCACAGTAGTAACCTAACTCATAGAGTAGGTTTGGGAGGAGACAGAGGGTTTTGGATGATCTGAAGATCTTTGAAGCTGTTAGCAGTGGTGAGTCACAGGGGTTACACAGTGAATAAGAATGAAGGAGGAGTAGCTGTGCCTTGCACCTCTTAGCACAGGTTCTGCAGTTGACTTAGATAGTTCCTTTACCAGTTCCTTGGGCTTTGAGTAGGAAATCCTCCATCCCTAGCCTACAGTGGTCTTCTTTAGGTATCTGCCGTGCTTTTGTGCCCCTTCCTTTTCTCCATGTAGCAGTAGGCAAGTTCAGTCCCCTAATGGTCAACCAAAGGGTACATTTAGTCTTATCCCGTCCCTTCCTACCTCATTCCTGGCACATAGGCTGCCAAGTGGTTAGAGCCTCCCCCCGCTCCCCATCAACCTGTAAGAACAAAAACGCCAGCGTTCTTGTCAGATGGTTTATTGTAACTCTGAAAATTAAACAGAATACATCTGAAAAGTAGTTAGTCTCAGCTTTCCATGGGACCCATTTGAAATGCAAAAAAAAAAAAAAACTCAGGACATTATTGACTGCTACACTTGTTCATTATTATCGCTTGGAAAAAGAATATCCAAGCATACACTGTTGGTGCTGGGAACAGGTAAAACGCCCTTGTCCTAAGTACTGCCATTTTGACTTCAGATTACATTATACCTGTAGGGTGAAAAAAGTTCAGGTTTCCAATAATTGATGTACCTCCTTCTTAAACCATAGAAAGTCATTATGCATTTTAGTTCTCTAGAAACATTAGGGCTGTTCCCAACAACAAAAAGAACAAGTGAATCTGATTGGTTGGACTGAAAAGCTTGTATTATATATTGATTGACAACTGAAGGAACACTTTAGGAAAGCCCCTAATCTTTGGAATTCTAACTGGTGAAAAATTCTAACTAGAGTTTGGCAACAAATGCTTGGGATATTTGGCCTTAAATATTTGCTTCATTTGGCATTTGGGTGATAGATTAGCTCCTGAATCTGTTCTGTGGCCCTGATTGATTAGCCCCATCCTGCCCCTGCACATGCCCTGCCCCTTTTATTTGTGATTCCTTGTATTAAATTCTGCTTTGCCAAATCTTCTTGTGTCTGTTTGGGTTGATTTGGAGCCTCAGACCACAATATTGGATCATGTCAGTGTTAATTGCTTTCCTCTATGCCCTCAAGTAAAATATTCTTTACAGGATAAATTGCCATGCCAGCAATAATTCTTTGTTGTTCATGAGGGTCCTACTTGGGACCCAGGGATTTAGGTTAGTTCTTGAATTTTCTTGTAAAAATACCCCCACTCCAACTTTCACACAAAACCATGGGTGGAAACAATTCCTAGGATTCAAGTGAGAGTATCAATACTCGAACACCACCCAAGGCTTACAGCAGATAAGATTCCTGGGAAAGAATATGAAATCTCTACTCAGATGACGCAACTGGACAAGATTCTGAAAAACAAAAGGATACTACCTGAGGGCTTCCCATCTACCTAGTGGTACCACAGGAACGGCTGCCCTTCAAGAGCTCTTAGAAAGATTTGTGAGAGCCGGGCGGTGGTGGTGCACGCCTTTAATCCCAGCACTCGGGAGGCAGAGGCAGGTGGATCTCTGTGAGTTCGAGGCCAGCCTGGTCTACAAGAGCTAGTTCCAGGACAGGCACCAAAGCTACAGAGAAACCCTTTCTCAAAAAAACCAAAAAAAAAAAAAAAAAAAAAAAAAGATTTGTGAGAACATTTTTCATTTTAAAGCCAAAGGTGATTAGCTTATTTTCCCCCACTGAAAGTTGTAAGCCCCACAAGGACGAGTATTTTCTGAACCTCTCTTTTGTGTTAGACCCTGTAGTGTTCTTCTTCCTGCTTCCCTTCCTTCCCCCTAGCCCAACTCCCATCCACTCCCCACAATGGGTAAGGTTGTGATGTCCAAGTTTCTGGCCCCCAAATGAATTCATGGAGCAGAATTTCCCATGCAAATGAGGGTTTTTAATGGTATTCAAACTCAGGTTGGGACCAACACCTTTCCAGCACCCCAGCATGATGGGTGCAGAAATGTGGCAGGGAGCCCAGGGAGGGTAGAACTTTTAAAGGGCAAACACCATAATCAGGGGAGTTCATGTCCTGTAATCTTGGGATTGGGTAAGAAAATCTCTGAAACCACCGGTCAGTTTTTGGGTGTGAAAATCTAATAAAGAGTCATTTAAAACTGGCAAGGTATCTTCAAGGACAGGAAGCCTCCTAGGAACATCTGGATCTCGTTAAATTTTATGGCCCTGCTCCTTAGCTCCTTAATTGGCTATTTTTAGGGTATCCTTTTAAATTCTGCTATCACAGCACATTTTTGAAGCTGAGATTGGCCATCCCCCTGCCCTGCAGCTCATTATATGGCTTCAGATGAAGCACCTTCTTTATTTTTATTTTTACCATTTTATTAGAATTAAAAAAAAAACAAAACAAACCCAGAAAAACTAGGGAAGGAAATGATTTAAAACAAAACAAAACCCAGAGCAAATATTAGCGAGATCAAAGGGAATGGCCGACTTCTATTTGATGACAATTTTCTGCCGCAAGGCCCTGGGCCCAGAACCAGGGAGTGGCTCAGGCGGCCGCGGGACCAGGCCGAGGGCTGAGGCAGTGGGTGGCAGTCCATGGACAGTGATGTACTTCTTGTACGCCTCACGAATTATCTTGAAGGCTCGAGCAGTGGCATCGGGTATGTCTGTAACAGTGTAACAGGATCGTGGTACAAAGCTGGATGGTGGGTCACTGGGCAGACCTACCGAAGAGGGACCTTTGGGGATCGCCGTTGGGGAAACCACTCTTCAAATGTTGCATCATCACTAAATGTGATGAAGGTGTGTGAATAGTGAGCAGGAGCGCCGGCAGCTCCATTCCCAGCGTGCGCAGTCAATGCAGAAGCTGCAGGAGCAGGATCAAGTCCTTACACGTCCACATTCTCCTCCTTGGGACTGGGCTCCCCAACAAGCGGCTCCATCATTGAACGGTAGGTGATGATTGGTCCCAGGGCACTTCCGCTTCTTGTGAACCTGCTTCTTTTTGTCGGCCTCAAGACTTTCATAGGTCTCTAGCGAATGTAAATTCAGCTCTTCTGTGATCTTGGCCTCCATGAGCAGCTCTTCCTCGGTGAGTGGTGGATCACAGTGGGGACCTTGTCCCTGCCTCTCTTGAACCCGAAGGAAAGTCTGCCGCGTGTGCTCGGCTGTAGACTGACGCATAGACTTCCGACTGTCAGAGCCGTCTTCCTGTAGCTCCAGGGGGAGCAGCGCCTTCTCTCTGGCCTTCTGAGAGCTACCTGCTGAGGTTCTGACCTTTCAAGCAACTCTGTGCCTCCTCCTTGGCTCTTCGGCTTCTCCGTCACTAGATGGTTCATCTCCTTCATCAAATGTCTACTTAGAGAACATCTTATCTGAGTTTCCTAAGGGTTTAGGACTCAGCAAACTGAGACATCCTGTGACTTTGGGAATTTGCATTGGCATTGCCTCTTTGGGAAGCTTAGGTAAGAGGCTTTGTTTTGCTTTGTTTTGTTTTGTTTTTCGAGACAGGGTTTCTCTGTGGTTTTGGAGCCTGTCCTGGAACTAGTTCTTGTAGACCAGGCTGGACTCGAATTTACAGAGATCTGCCTGCCTCTGCCTCCCAAGTGCTAGGATTAAAGGAGTGTGCCACCACCGCCCGGCTAGGTAAGAGGTTTTGTTATACGAAAATTGACTTGCTAAAGGTGTGAATTGTATAACAATAAAAAAGTCCTTTT